GAGCAGGGATTCAGGAGTCCTCCTACTTGGGTTCGGATTCCAGATTGTGACCTTGCTGTCGCCCTTGCAGTTTCCTCATTTGGAAAAAAAAAGCACGTAGTAATAGTGCTTACCTCATAGGATTGTTAGAAGGATTAAATGTGAATTAACATATATAAAGCACTTAACTCTGGCATATGTGTTAGCTTTTGATCACCTCCAAGTTTTTGCCTTTGCCTAAACCTTTTCAGAGTTGTGTTGTTTTTGGGATTCAGTTCTAACAAGATGAAACTTGGTACCCCTGGTGATCTGGACCCGCTTCTGCTCTGGTCCCTCTGTCCTGGAATTCAAGCTTCCGTGACACCAACCCTTTGTAACCCAGCAAAGGGCTCTTGTGCCTGTGATGCAGAAAGCCAGACTCTTGACACTGGATTTGCAGCAGAGTAGATTTATTGCAGGGCACCAAGCAAGGGAGTGGGAGACAAACCTCAGATCCACCCCAACTTGGTCTTTGAGTTTTGTTTTGTGGGGTTTTTTTTAGGGGAGGAAAAAGGAAGCTGGGGTTAATCATCATTTTTTGACTTTTTTTTTTTAATATGGACCACTTTTAAAGTCTTTATTGAATTTGTTACAATATTGCTTCTGTTTCATGTTTTGGTTTTTGACTGCAAGGCATTTGGGATCTTAGCTCCCTGACCAGGGATGGAACCTGCACCCCCTGCATTGGAAGGCGAAGTCTTAACCACTGGACCACCAGGGAAGTCCCTACATTTCTTAATCAAAGTTTTGGGAATCAGGATGTTTCTGGTTTATGACTCTCTGGCCAGGTGGCCCATGGCTTGGGGGTCTGTGAGCTCATCTTGCCCTGGAGAAATGGCCTGAGTTTGCACATGAATGGCGATATCTGTAATAATAGCAATTTTAGTACATTAACGATGTTATCAACAGCAGCAGTTTTAGTCATCTGACTCTGGTTGATTACTGTTCAGTTAGCACAGGATTGAGATCAGAGGGGATAAGAAAGGGAATAAAGTTTTGGATAGAGAGACTAATCATAAACTCGGTAAGGGAACATGGTTTTACAGGGACTCGGTTTCACATTTTTCACTTACTCAGCACTTTTCTCCCTCTGGCACCGGACCTTTGCACATGCTGTTACTTCTGCCTTGCACTCCTTACCTTTCCCCCTGTTGCTTGGCTACCTCCTAGACCCCGTGAAGTGGTCCCTCCAGGAAGCCTTCCCTGATGTCTCAACCAGGGCTGCTGACCCATTCAGTTGCTCTGGTACTAGCAGAAGCTTGACCCTCACATTTACACTGAAATGGCATGGGGGGGGGGTCTCAATTCAGCAGG